CCACACCCGGAAATTTACGACGTCGCATTTTTCCCGCCTATCTGCCGGTCGATCGTTCGTGCTCCATTTACATTTCATCCCACGGTGACGCTTCCGCAAACCTCTTCCTCTTTTCTCTTAAACCCCCTCACTTCCGTGCGAAAATTTTGACATAACCTCTACGCCTGCTTTACTTCCATTGCTATGCTCCACGCGGAAGTTTACGTCGCAATTGCACAAGCTGTTCCTCGTTAACTTTTGTGTTCTGTGCAAAAATTTCTACGTAATCCCTTTTCCCTTTATTTCCTTATGAAATTTCGACATAACCTCTACACTTCCTTTACTTCCACCGCCATCTTACATTCGTAATACGCCTTTACTTTTTCTCATCAACATTTGCGTTTCATGCGAAAATTTCGACATAACCTCTACACCTGCTTTACTTCCATCGCTACGTTCCACGTGGGAGTTTTCGTCGCAATTGCATAACCTGTTCCTCGTCAACTTTTATATTCTATGGCAAAAATTTCTATGTAATCCCTTTATTTACTTATGAAATTTCGACATAACCTCTACACTTCCTTTACTTCGACCGCCATCTTACATTCGTAATACGCTTTTACTTTTTCTCATCAACGTTTGCGTTTCATGCGAAAATTTCGACATAACCTCTACATCTGTTTACTTCCATCGCCACGCTCCATGCGGGAGTTTACGTCGCAATTGCACAAGCTGTTCCTCGTCAATTTTTGTATTCTATGCGAGAATTTCTACGTAATCCCTTTTTCCTTTATTTACTTATGAATTTTGGACATAACCTCTACACTTGCTTTACTTCGACCGCCATCTTAGATTCGGAATAGGCTTCCGCTGTTTCTCGTCAATGTTTGCATTCCATGGGAAAATTTCGACGCGAAAATTTTTATACAATCCCTTCTCCTATTTCCCTTTTAATACGAGGAACAAAGGTGCGAAAATTCGTGTATAACCTCGTGTCGTTTTTCGATTAACCACCATGTCTGACGCAGAAGTCTTTGTCGTAACTGCTTTTGATATTTCTCAACTTTTGTGTTCGATATGGAAATTTCGACGCGACAGGTCTCACGCGAAAATTTCTTTGTAAACCCCTTTCTCTGCCTCGTATTAACCATCGTAATCGACACGCGAAAATTTGTACATAACCTCTACATCGTTCTCCGCTTAATCGCCATGTTTGGCGCAAGAGCTTTCGTCGTGACTGCTTCTACTTTATTTTCTAAAGTTTTGTGCTTAATATGAAAATTCTGACGCGACTGGTTTAATACTAAAATCTGTTCGAATTATCTTTTTCTTTTTCCATTTAGCTCTCGTAATCGACACGGAAATTTCAACATAACCTCTACAGCTTCCGTTTAACGTTCGACGTAGAAATTTTTATCGTAATCTTCAATTCTTTTTCTCTCTTTTCCCTCATAGTAATCCCTTTCCCTTTTTCCCTCTCAACTCTTGTATTTCACACAAAAATTTCTTCCCAACTCCTTTCGTTTTCTCCCTTTGACCCCACGTTCGGAGCGAAGATTTCATAAATCCCACCCTTTTTCCCTTAAGCCCCGTGTTCAACGCGAAAACTTCTTTATAACCTCTTTTCCTTTTTTCCTTACCCCCATTCAACGCGGAAACTTCTTTATCGCGAGTTTGTTTACTCCGTTGTTGCTCTTAAACGAAGCCCCGTTTGCCTCGCTGTAATTTCCTCGCGTTTCGATCTTGCATCGTGGAAAAATTCTAAAGGCGACTGATCCGGTATCTCGAAGTTTCGTAATAGGATATAAATTCATTAGACATGCTAATCGCAATGCTAATCGAAAGAAATGAATTTTCCAGCGGAGGAAAACTCGGTGAAATTAGAATACCGAATCGGATAAGAAGAGAATAAGATCAGCCGGGATCTTGGTATCTATGCGCTCTAGGGATCCCCAGCATCCTAGCGTCCTAGGGGAAAGAGGCATGCCTCCTATGTATGCAAACACGCGTAAAAACGTCCGGGGAAGTTTCGCGCACAAAGCACAACGAACGAGTCGGATATCGTGGTGTGATCTGAGAGCATCCCCGATTGAAACAGGCTACGTTCCTACGTATATGTACATGGCGCGTGGCGAACGCAACTAGGGTGGAATGCTTCTAACGTGGAAAGTTTCTCGCGGTGGAGATCGATATGCTCGAAACGCAACTATTTCTCGCGCAAGTAGCGAAATTTCGCCCAACTATGCTGCGAATTTCCAACCGCGAGTATCCCCGACCGAGTGAGGGGTTGTTTCCACGAGTTCCATGAACCCGGGGGCGAACGAATCGACGTTTCGAGGATCGAGTCCACCGGCGAGGTTCGTTCCGGCTCGTTTAGGCTCGTCCGACGAGGCACTCGAGGCGTCGTCGAGCATCTGGAATTGCGGCAGTCGCTAATCCGCGCTGCCTTTCGTCAGAAGCTGGAGAACCGCCCCGTCGCGCGACGACTAGGGGTGGCTAACACGTTCTCGATTAAGTCGCCGGCAGAGAACTAATTTCGAGGAGGGTGAAACTGTCGCCGAGGGGTGTCGGCTGTGGAGCTCGGGGGGACGGAGTGGAGACGGGAAGGGGTGAACTCGGGCAACTATAAACTAGCTAAACAACTCTTTCTAAGATACTCGCCGGCTCTGCGGAGTGCTCACCAATTGCAGCCATTGCTTGCAGCCAATCGCGTTGGATCTTCGTGTTAATGGAGGGAGGGGATGCAGAAACAGGGGAAACTTCGAGTTCCCGTACAACTTTCCTTCTCTTCCCTTATTTCTTTAAATTCACAATTTCCTTTGTTTATCATTTCTCCATTTCTCGATGTTTCTGCATCGCTTCGAAAGAAAACGTTGAAGCTATCGGAAAAATCGCGGTTGTTTGATGATTATGAGAAAAATTGCAGTCGTCGGCGAGGAACTTTTTCTCATCGGTGGAAATTATGACACACACATTACTTCCTACATAGTGTTCTCAAGATACAATATCGCGTATGTCTACGTAAAAGCGACAAACCCAAATGGTCACTTTCTAATAACAGTAAAAAAAGGAATAAGTAGAAGAAGAAGAAGAGTGAGAATAAAAATAACGATGATACAAAAAGGAAAACGAAAACTACCAATCGCATGCATTACACTGATTCGTCAAAAGAGGAGAATCAAAGGAGATATCAAACATTCGGGGATGATGCACAGAACAGAGGGAGAAGCTTTATAGAATCGCAACGATAGAGGCAGACATAGTTACTCTGGGGTTTGAAAGAAAGAGAGAGAGAGGGAGAGAGAGAGAGAGAGAGAGAGAGAGAGAGAGAGAGAGAGAGAGAAAAGGAAAATCGTTCTCGATACCGAAGAAGAGAAGAAAGTAAAGTGTGATACGGATGTGAGTCGGCGGCACGACGATCGGTGAGCACTCCTGATCGGCCAGGTCCAAACGAGGAAGACCACCAAAAAAGACAGGACAGGAGAAGAAGAAAAATAGGGGTCCAAATAGTAAACAAAAAAATAATAATAATAATAAAAACTGAAAAAAATGAAGGAAAAAAAAAAAATAAAAATAAAAATAGACAAACAACGGGCGAAGAAAGTTCACTCAGGGCGGACCCTTAAAATTCCTACCTCCAGGGCGGGTGCTTTAGCCTGAAACACAAACGGCAAACCTGAAAAGTAATTCCGGCCAGTTCGGGACGGGTGATTTAATATGGCGTCGCGTTTAACGAGGGTTCGTTGTTGTTGGTGTCGTAGCTGATCGTTAATTAAAATTATCACCGGTTGCTGTCTGTGTCATGGAACCTATGGATTCGGGCTAGCTCGATTGATCTCTCTGGTGTTCTTACGCGGGAAAATCGATTTCGTGTTCGCGTGTTGTTTCTGTTGCGATGTCTCGGGTGAACGCGGACAGAGAATGAATGTGAATGTGACGACAGGAGGGATGAAAGATGAGTGGAGAAACCAGGCGACAAAATGCAACAAGATGCTGCGCGATCTTGTGACGCGACGGAGTGCAATGCTTTGGTCTCAAGAGACGTTTCTTACACGTTTATCTTCGCTGATCTTTGTTTCTAGAGTTTCTGTCTAGAAAGATTCTGTCTTATGGGATGTTAAATTCTTCGAAATTCCTCAGAATTCCATTGCAATAACGAGATTGAAAACGTCTCTTGACAGAACATCGCGAGACGGTGACAGGTTCTAGGGGAGCTGATTCTGTGGAATCACGTGGAATCGAAGATATATGACACGACTATTAGTCTAAGAATATTTTAACGAGGAGTATTAACTTCTCGCGAATCAGACGTGTCAAGGTATCCACGAATCTTCCGATACGTTCTGGAGGAATACGTTCCCTGAAATTGCAAAAGAGCATCGGGGTCTAATTAGATCATAATCATTCGAAGATAAAGCAAAACGAACAAATGACACTTTTAAATAAATATTTCGTACATTTCGAGATATTGCAATATTACGTCTGATATTAATTGGAATTAAAATTTGAGGAAAATCGGTAGCAGGCTGCGAGATTTTTGCAATTGCGCGAGGCCAAAACAGAGGGACAGTCCGCGAAATGAGCGCGGGGTTCGAAATTAATTTTCATCCCGGGCAGTGGCGAGCTGGAAACGGGCTGTCGAGGGGTAAAGCTCGGAAACGATAGCTGTCGTTACCCGTTTCCTGTGTCTGCTCTTTCGCAATTCCTCTCCCGCTTCCTCCTGTTTTATAATTTCTCTCCTCTTTCTCTCCCCTCTATCTCGTTCGAACGAGATTCACCGTGGATTTTTCGCGTACGGCGGAAGGCTCGAAAGAGAATACGAGAGGGTGAACCGCTGGGATGGCGGAAAAAAGAAAAAGAAAAATAAAAAAATAGAAGAAAATGGACGAACAGGCGGGCGAAAAAACGGACGAGAGTGACGGTAGATGAAAGAACGTAGGAACGAGATAGGGATGGCGTAATTGTTATCGGGCTCTCTGCGTTTCACGTGTGTGCAAGCCTGGCAAAACGTGTCAACTAACGTCAGCTGTTGCTTGAGGCCATTCCAGCTAAACGGGTCCGGAACAGTTGCAGACTTTAGTCAATATTTCTGTGCCTCCTTTTCTCTTTGTTCTATTTCTTTTTTCCCTTCTCTCTTTTTTTTAACTCTTTACCTTTTTCTCTGTTTTTCTTTATTACTTTTTTCTGTTTTATTTTTTTTTTCTTTTTTTTTTGGTTTTGGTTTTGCTTTTCGTTCGTTTTCGTTGTTCGCTTTTACTCCCTCCGCTATACGAACGTACCGTGCTCTGTTTCCGCGACGCGATCGACGACGTTTCGAGTGCCTCGATCGAAAGAGGCTTTGAAATAGCTGCAACAATGAACTCTCGGGGTAAGAATGTCCGACGGTTTGCCATTGTAACGCGGGAACACCGTTTCTCGCTCGATCGCCTAACACAAAGGCTACTTTACTTTGGAATACCGGAATCGGTGACTCTCGCGACTTTGCCGAGGCTACGACGATACCGAGCCTAGCTCCGACTCGATATTTTCCCTGTCCCACGATTCGGGAATAGTGCAGCATCCAAACAGCAAATTTTGGACCATTGTCAACACGTTAACCCTCTGCAGTCGAAAGAAAATTCCTGGAGAGGCCACTTGTGGAAATTGTGGAAATTGTGAAAATTAAAAATCGGTATTAAATTCGTAATTATGTGGAGACACGTGAGATATCGAGATGGAATAATTCCCTGCCTTAATTGATATGCAAATGGCCCCTTTTCGTGTTATCGAATAAGATTTTAACGATTTTGCAAGGGTTTCAAAAAATCGAGAGCAGAGGGTCAAGTATTAATAAAAGTGAAAAGAATTTAGATTTAATTTGGGTAATTAATATTAGATAACTTCGTGAAATTTTTATCGAAGATTCGATATATGGGAAATTTCTTTCACTAGATCTACCACGACCAGTGAAATATCCTGTAGGTGGAGCAACGAAGGAAGAACTTCAAAGAGAATGGAATAAAAGAAATATTGAAAAATCTATAATAAAAGTCGAGACAAAAGACCAGAGCGATAACGCTGAACGAAGAATTTTTAATCATTTAATTTGTAAGAGTTAATACCGAATCTACCATGGCCGGTAGTCGAAGAAATAAAATAAAGACGTGAGAAAAATGGAATGCGAGATATCGGAAAATTGATTATACCTGTATTAAAAGAAAGATCGCAAAGACAAGTGATCAAAGCGACAAAGTTGAATACGAAATTTTTAATTAAAAATTTAAAAAGTATCGGTTGGATCCTGATAAATTTAGCGTTAAGTAATTTCAGAGAAACAGAACACGAGGAGATTTTGAAAAATTGATTATACCTATATTAAAAGAAAACTCGCAAAGACAAGCGATCAAAGTGACAACGTTGAGTGGGAAATTTTCAATTAAAAATTTAAGAACGGCCATTTTGGGCTTTGGTAGGTTCAGTGTTAAGTACACCAGAGTGTATTATAAGAGGAAGGTCGAAAACGATTAGCGATCTCGATTTTTCAGGTCGTCGCTTGGACCGCGTTCAATTTTCCCTCGGCGGAGTAGATCGAGGGCGGAAATCGATACGCAAACAACGATCAACCGGGTTCGTTTACCAATTAATTCACGATAATCTATCGGCAGCGTCTGAAAGGTGATCGATTAAGCGAGCTGACGTTTCAATCTGGCCGTCGGGGGGAGGCGTTGCTCGATTTAATTAAAAACTCATTCGTCGCCGCTCGCGCCCCGGAAACAGAGCACCGGCGACAATTTCCGGCGGAAAATCAGGGAAATCTCGTGTCTCACCTGTAGCCTGTAGTTGGGATCCTGCGTCGCCGCGTGTGCTGCTAGGAACGGGTCGTAATAAACGCTGCAAAATAAAAATTGTACACGTTAGTTTTGTGTCTTCCTGCAAAAATTTGCGAGCAACCAGCGTCTCTTCCTTCTACCATTCCACAATTTTGAGTTTCGTAATCTTTCGTAATCGAATATTATTTTTCTCCGGATATACGAACAGTAAATTATTTCTTTCTTTCTCAAAATTTCTTTAGCGCTTTTGATAAATTTCCCGCTGAATTTTTGCATGGTCATTAACCCTTTGCGTTATCATATCGTGTCTAACTCGTTGCGAGTTCTTTGTGCCAAATCTCAATATAATAGGCTGCATTTATAGTAACTATATATAACATATTTGAACGAGTACGGTGTTTAGCTCGTTGTGAGCTCTTTGTGCCAAATCTCACGATTATAGGCTGTATTTATAATAATTATATTTAACATATTTTAAGGAGTACAAAATTCGAAGAATTTTTATAAATTCTATCCAATTTTATCATGGATGGAATAAATGTACAGTGGTTAATTAAAATTAAATTCGTCTTCCATGTAGAATTTTTCATAATTAAATTATTGTGCAAGGGGTTAAATTATTGTTGATTTCAACCCTTTGGACCTCTTCATCGAAGGTGGTTCAACGTTAATTTTACATAGATATATTATAAAAATAATTAGTATCTCTCACAAGAAGCTCTCACAAAGAAACTTGAAAGAGAGTCAAGAACTTATTTAAAATATTTAATTAAAAATTCTACAAAAATCTTATCATCATATATATAAAGTCCCGATATTATTACCAATATAATCAACAAAGAAAATTTGTTTAAATCGTATCCTACTAACCAACAATCTCTCGAGGTGTCCATCCCAAATAAAATCCCTAAATCACCAGCGAATTATCGAAAAGGAAATTGAAAAAATTAAGAGCGTAAAGGGTTAATGCACAATGTCTGAAGTACTTAATACACGTCGCGTTTCGGAGACTTCAATGCTCGCATAGTTGTTTGGCCAAAAAGAAGCTGGTTGCCTTCGTCACTCTGTAAACGAAACACTCGCGGAAACAGGAAACGGAATTCGTTCTCGTGTCATTGATAGCGGGATTCGAGTGCTCTCTCCTCCTCGACGCTCGATGGCTTCGAATCAGCTTCGAATCAGCCTCGAGTTCGCCGACCGACGAATGCATCGTCGAAGGATCCGATTTATTTCCTCCCCCTGCCCCCCTTTTCACCGTCGAAAATTCCACTGTTTCCGCGACTCGACGAATTTCGCCCACTTCGCGATGAAAGGACCGCGTTCGATCAAATTTCGAAACCGAACGCGTGTCCCCACCCACGAAGCCATCTTTTATCGCTGACGTATTTACACGTTCAGCGCGGATATTCTCGTTCGACGATCGGTCGAGGACCCCCTCGAGGTTCTCGATTTTCAAACGCGAAACGATTTCTCTTTCCCCATTTTCTCGCTGCAAAAATTCCAAACGCGTATAACGTAACCGTAACGAAACGTATCAATCGCGGGCCTTAAATTTCCCAGGATCCGTGCCATTAATAACCTTTGTCTGGAACCGAACGAGCCCGGAGTGAATCGATTCCGCGAACGCGAGATAAAAGTTTCTCGTACGTCATGTCTACTCCCCGTCGAGTTTATCCGTCACTGGTTATCTGGGCTTTTCAGCGGGGCCAACGAAAATTCATAAATCACGGCTCGCGTGTCCTTGCACTGAAAACATGTCGCTATCATCGTGATCGGTGGATCGAGGAACCCCGACGCGTAACAAACGATTTCAACGCGTACGAACGGCCGACCCTTATTTACGAGTAATAAAACTGGCGATTGATCGACGGGAAAATATGGCCGCCGCGCGGAAACATCCGCGACCCGGCAATTTTCCATCGCGCGTTCATCCGTCCCGCGGAATCGTTTAATTAACGAACCAAGCTATTTATCCACGTGCCAACGCGTCTTCTTTTCAACTCGTCCGACAATAACCGACCGAAATTTCGTTACCAAAAATCGTGCAAACGATTCGCCATCCCATTAGAACCGGAACCAACGTCAATTTTAATTTTTTAAAAATCCGGAACGATCCGTTTCAACCCCTCCGAAATTAGCAAACGATAGATAAATTTCCACGCGAAGATTAGCAATGTTGGAATGGTAGCGATCGCGAGGACGAAAGTAAAAATCCGAAACGATCCGTTTCAACACCTCCGAACTTAATAGACGATCGACGAATTTCCACGCGAAAATTAGCAACGTCGGAATGGTAGCGATCGCGTGGACAAAAGTAAAAATCCGAAATGATCCGTTTCAACCCCTCCAAAATTAGCAAATGATAGATAAATTTCCACGCGAAGATTAGCAATGTCGGAATGGTAGCGATCGCGAGGACGAAAGTAAAAATTCGAAACGATCCGTTTCAACCCCTCCGAAATTAGCAGACGATCGACGAATTTCCACGCGAAAATTAGCAACATTGGAATGCTAGCGATCGCGAGAAAGAGAATAGAAATCCAAAATGATCGTTTCAACCCCACCGAACTTAACAGACGATCGACGAATTTCCACGCGAAAATTAGCAACATTGGAATGCTAGCGATCACGAGGACGAAAGTAAAAATCCGAAACGATCTATTTCAACCCCTCCGAACTTAACAGACGATCGACGAATTTCCACGCAAAAATTAGCAACGTCGGAATGGTAGCGATCGCGAGGACGAAAGTAAAAATCCGAAACGATCTATTTCAACCCCTCCGAACTTAACAGACGATCGACGAATTTCCACGCGAAAATTAGCAACGTTGGAATGCTAGCGATCGCGAGGACGAAAGTAAAAATCCGAAACGATCCGTTTCAACCCCTCCGAAATTAGCAGACGATCGACGAATTTCCACGCGAGAATGAGCAACGTCGGAATGCTGTCGATCGCACGTCGAAATTGTGAATTTTTTCCTCGATTTTCCCAAAACGATTCCTCGGATTTCTCCCCACCACCGATCGCCTCGCGTTTGCAAGAAGAGGACCGCGAGGAGTGATCGCGGATTATCAACGAGCCGGATCGTCTACGTTGACTAGAAGGCCGAGTGATCTGTCGAGGGTTCTCCGTGGAAGAAGGAAGTGGTCTCGTTAAGGGAGGTTAGATCGGTGCATGCTGGCTACGACGATTTCGACAGGCAGGCTAACGAGCGAGACACGTGCAGCTGGTCGCAGCGGGCAACCGGATGCTGTCTTCTCGATGACACTCGATGATCCGCGGTGGCGAAAATTGGCGGAATTTCTGCCGGGCCGGCGAGCAACTCGGCGTAACGCAAAACTGAATCGGTTGTTGAACGAAGTGTGAATTTCCACGCGAAATTGCGGCGTCGACGCGGCCGGCTGTTGCGTTCGGGGCACGTGATATATAGGGGAATCCGGGTCAGTGATTTAGATATTCCCGCGACCCGTCGAGAGTCTCGTTAAAAAGATTTTCATCCGACGCCGATGGAATAGCTCTGTTGCAAAGTAGTTTCGGTACACGTCGACCATGTTCCACAGATTGCTTCTAATTTTATTTCGGCCTCGCGAGCTCCCTGTCGCGTCGTTAACGATGCGTCGTTCTTGGACCAATCATTTTTCACGCGTTCCCTGTCGTCAATTTCTCCGCCTTCTTTTTATAATAACGAAAAATAATTAAAAGAATTTGCAAATTTGTCTGCCATTTTTCACAAGACACGGTAGAACTTGAGAAATTGAGAAATTTGTTCTAAAATGGCAGGGTGGTAAAAGATCTAGAAATGGAATTTTGAACGAAGTTGAAGTAGAGAAATCTAAAAGATAATTACCAAAAATTTTTCTCACTCGAGTAGAAATATCATTAACGTGACAATAGTACTTTGTCGCGGCAGTCACGTGTGAGGTACCAAGACGTAAACCTTTCGCGTATTTACCAAAACCAGCTACAACCTACTGAGAATCGCGTATGAAAAGCTGGCGACCAATAAGGGTGAACTATAATACAAACAAAATTTAAAATTGAATTGGTTAAAATGAAGGATTAAAGATCAATTTTATGAGAGATTCCCGTTACCAAGTGAATTTGTCTAATAACATCAAACTTGTAATAAACCACTCTTTGAAATACTATTAATAGCAACGGGAAATGGGATTTGCACCGACACGAATTTACGTCAGTAGCATCTAGGAAGAGTATCATAAACGATATGAATTCCCGTCAGCAGCATTCAGGTAGAGGATTATAAGTGACGCGAATCCGTATCACCGACTTCCAGCGTGTTAATTACATTGCCAATTTTATTTCTACCTTTTCTACCTTGCTTTTCAACTTCCTGCCAAAGTCTCGATATCCGATATATATATTCGATATATATATTCCAAGAACGGTGTTAACATTTAAATCGACACGAGTGTAGCTTGCTCGACAACGCTCGAGTACAATCTCCGTTCTAAAACAACAGCCCCAAGAACGAGCAACCAGACCTACAGAGTCCCGAACTTCGCGCGACCATATTCCCATCCTTTGTGCCGGAACAAGCACCCGAACGACTTCTTCTGTCCCCGGAACACGGGGTAGCTTCTCCCATTCGCGGACTTAAACCGTGTATCTCTTAAACTCCGTCACGCGACTGTTTAAACTCGCAAACTTTCCCCTACCAATTAAGCCTCTGCGAGACCACCTTTGAACCCGAGGTGAACTTTGCTGCTTTGCAACAGAGAGTTTAAAGGCTACCCTCTGTGATCGCGCAAGCGAATATACCGATTGCGAACATCGATCATCCGTATTCCATTCGTCCATCCTCGAATCGCCGATTTAACTCTTCGCGGATGCCGGTCACGCGAAAGCCTATGGAAATTAATCTTCAGCTTCAGCCCGGCTTTGTATAAGAAATTCGATACGAAGATAAGATAAGTCGCCGAGTGGGGAAGTTCAGTTCCGAGTTCGAAATACACCGTCGTGTTTGCGATTTAATTCAAAGACACACGTGGCGAGAAGCGAAGAAATGCTTGGTAGCTTCTCTCCAGGTGCACGTTCGGGTTTTCGACGGCGTTCGCAGAAACGCGTCCGCGAAGAGTTAAGTAGATGGCGAAAATATCGGAGAGGATGGTTTCACTTTCACAGGTGACTTAACGGGAATGTACGAGAAATTTTACGCGAAATTCCGCCATGACAGGTACACGTGGAGCGATACCGCGGTTCCGGTGGCCCGCTCGCGACGACGAGGTACGAAGAAGGTTGCAGGTCTATGCGACAGGCGTCCAGGCGTCCAGGACGACGCGCCACGTCGGCGTCTACTTACGCAGGTGCAAAGGGATGCAGGGCCGTGGCTGCAGCCGCAGCTGCGAGCGGCCCAGGGTTCCTGGCAAGAGCCAATGCTGCTGCACTGGTCGGAAAGGCTGCTCTCGCAGCGCCTACTCTTCCTCGTTGGATGGCCACTCCTCTCAGGGCTGCGGCTGTAACAACACACACACATGCGAATGCTTGCCTACCTTCTCGTAGCGCTTTTATAGCCGTGGTGAGTTCTCTTTCGGCTTTGAGTTCTCCGCGAGTTCTCTTCGCCGGCCATGACCGCTTCGCTGCTTCCTGTGAACGCGACTCTCTTCCGTGGAAGAAATTCGTCGGGTGGGCGACGACGAGACGAGACGAGACGATATCTCACGTTGAAACGATAATTTTCAGAGTATCGAACGGATTCGGGGAACATTTCCAAGGTGGACGGAGTCGTCCGTGCGACCGCAGCGCCTCCTACGCGGAGGAGGACGCCTTTCGTCGCAAATCGCTTCGGTTCACCTTCTCGACGGTGTTCCGGGAGAATAGAAGTAGCGGAAGTCAGATGTCTGGAGGGAAGATTAGAAGCGGGTGAATAATCGGAGAAGATCATGGATGAACGGAAGCCTCGCGAGTCGCGGGCAGCCGGAGCTGATCCGGATGCAGCTACGAGGAGATGGCATCGTGGATTTTTCTGCGAGAAGCGACGATGGAGCGAATGCGAGTCGGAGATCGCTATGCAGTCGTGGCTGCGACGTTACCGATCCAGTCGAGCGGAGCAAACGAATCCCGAGAAACCGACCACGTCCAAGGCACAACACACGAAGCACTTCGACAACCAACGACGCGTGCAGCTGAACGCTTCTTTGGAATCGGACGAAGCAACCGTGATGATCGCGAAGCCTTTGAAGTCCATCATGAAGTCAGGCACTCAGGCAAAGCCCCCGAGCACGGTCAGATTCGAATTACCCCCGACGAGAGACAACGCCGATCAGAGGACCAAACAGCCCAGCCTGCTGGACAGACTCCGGAGATTGCGAGAGAGACCGGCGTGCAGGTTGCTGACAAGCCTCATTTTCTGCGTCGTGTTACCCTGCTGCTTGATCTACGTGGGTATCCACTACGCGAATAAATTGAACACTCGCAAAGTGGCGTTCTTCAGAGGAAAGTCGTTCACTTGAAAAGCTCTAGGTATAATAGGAACTCCGATGAATCGAGAATGAAAGAAGAGGCCAAACCTCGAGGAAGACATTCCGAATAGATCGAAGGCTATGCATGGAATTCGAGAAGACACGATAGACCAGGCTTGCCTTCTAGCTAGACCATGCCCACGACCCGAATATTTCACCCAAAATTGCATCCGGCTTCGTCAGCGTCAAAGGAGACACTGTGTCGATGGGCTAGCCATAAATATAAAAGCCATCTTTTTCCCAGCATCTGGTCTTACACTCGTGGACACGTATGCATTTATATGCAAGGTGCAGCCACCTGGCGAGTATCTCTGAAAAAGAACGCTTGCACGAGTCCTCGAGCAAACCGTAAAACCGAGTCCGAGTACTGGAGAGTCGAATCGACTCGGAATACCTCGCGGAAATAATCCCACGGGTTGGCTGAAGCTAATGGGAGACTGGTCTTTAGACAGACAGATAAAACCCGGCTGATCAGCCGAGCATTCCGATGGAGGAGAGGTCGGTGGATGTCGATTGAGCGAGTGAAAGCTGGCGCGCAAAGAGCGAGCTTTCAGCGTTTAACGACCACGGACGAGGAATTTGGTCGGCTGTTGGAGCGACAATTAGGAAGAAATCGGCTGTTCGGCGAGCTCGTTCCACTGATGGGACCCTTCGAAGACGACGCCTCTTTCGGTGCCCGGAAATGGCTGCGTCGACGGCGAATCCGGGCCTCGATTGATCGCAGACAGGCTCCCTTTGATCAGGACAGCGGAGCGATAAAAACTCGTGTTTCTGCCTACCTTTTGTCCGCGCCGTCACCTTTTGTCTGCGTGTGTCTCAACTAACTCGTGCGCTCCACGCTTCCGCGTGGTCCACGGCCAACTTCCGCCTCCGAGAGATCAAGGAGCGAATCTTTTCTTTCCCTTCTTTTCACGCCCGGTTTTTCTTTCGTTAAAAGCCCGTTCAAACGAGTGGCAAAGGAGTGACTTGTACAGCAAAGTGCTGCCAACTGACAGCGCTTAATTGTAATTACTCTAAGTATAACGTGTTCCCGATAATTAATAATTAGTCCAACTAGTCGCTGCTAATGATCTGGATAATTTGACGATTTCATTTTCGCAATATTGATTTCTACTATGGATTAGGCGAAGTATCGTTACTTTTGCTTTCTGTTCGAACGCTCCCAGTCTCTTCGGGAAACAGATGCCTCCGTGGCGATTAGTATAAAAGAGAGAATACTGGCGCAGCTGGTTACAGGCTATAAAACTGGATACAACGAGCAACAAGTAAACAACAACAATCAACAACAACAACGGAATAATTATTAAACAATCAACTACCGTGCAAGTGTCGCACGTGTGGTTAGCGCGAGCGCAGAACGGAAGTTAACGAGGCCGCTCTCGACTGGATGGTTACAGAAGCCAGACCGACAATCCGGCGCTATTCGGTACAAAAACTCGGGTGCGTCAAGAAACAAGACTAGAGCGTGATGCATTTACAGCAGGCACATTCCAAAAACACATTTGGTAGGGTTGCGAGAGTTAAGAGTTAAACAAGAAAACCGGAACGATGCGACGACGCGATCTGTGGCCGGAAGTTGCCCCGGTTTCCCGAACCCTCGCGTTCCCTTTGATCTCGGGGGGGAAACTGCATCGGGTTTTCCGTGTCTCTAACGGGAAGGAATTTTGCTAGCCCGTCTTCGTCGGATTTCGCGACGTGCGAGCCTCCAATTAACGATAATTAATTAACCGGCTAACGACCGGATGCTCGCCGGGGTTCCAGCTGATGAACACGGACCCGTGACAAGCCGGATGTTCCATAACGAGGCTCGAAATGGTCAAAAATCGCGAGGATTCAATTTCGCGAGAATTACTACCCCACCCTGACGTGCACCCCTCGCGCGAATAAAGAGACGCGATTCCAAACGCTGGAGAAAAGTGATAAATAAAAATAAAATTTCGAGTCTTCGATAAAGATGGGAAAATAAGGGGGAAGAAAAGAATACCGCGTTTTCGACCACAGATCGATGATCGTCGCGCGTGACAACGTCGCCCTAAATGGCGCGTGGGGTTCGCTAATTAACATCGGTAATGCGTGTCCCAGAGAGAACAAGGGTGCTGCGGGGGTGTGTGAAATCGGAGAAAAAAGAAAAAAAAATGATAGAAGAAAAGGGGAGAAGGGAGAAAGAAACGGTGGTGCTCGACGATGCAACAGCACCGCCGCTTCCGGTGTATTCTCCCCGGTTCGACGTGTCTCGTTGTTTCGTTCTTCCAACTCGAAGATCCCCTCGACGCTGCGGATCGTAACTTTTTAGCTTTTTCACCCGGAGGAAACGCATCCGTTATTGTCCGTGTGCGTCGCACGACGAGGGA